GAGAGAGAGAGAGAGAGAGGAGGAGGGAGAGGGAGAGAGGGATGGAGCCAGGGAGAGAGAAAGGGTGCCAGGGAGGGAGGGAGCCAGGGAGCCAGGGAGCCATGGAGCCAGGGAGCCAGGGAGAGAGAGGGAGTCAGGTAAGGGGAGGGGGGTCACGTAAAAGAACACTGAGGAGCAAGTTAGAGGCGAGGTATGAGAGTAGAAGCAGTTCATGAACCTACTGGAAGCGAAGGAACTTTCATGATAGTTCAAACATACAAGAGATCTAGGAAACTTTGTGAAAGCGCTTCTCTCATGATCGCGACAGGTGCTCCTCGTAGTCGCCATTTCGCTCTCTGCGGAACGGGATAAGGACGAGCTTCAAGACACGATCTACATGGTTGACACGGCTCCTTCCTTGCGAGGAGGAGGAGGAGGAGCACTGACATAGATCATCCTTGCAGATGGGATACAACACGACCATGGCAGAGGACGATGCCTGGGAGGACGGCATCGTCGAGCCGAACGATGGGCAGGCTGGGTGGTCGTTCAGCAGGCAGTCCAGCTCGAGGAGGAAGGAGCCGCTCGAGTTTGACTGGGAGGAGGAGCGGAGAAGAAAGGCAGAGCTCACTGACCCGAAGCTCGACTACCGCACCCGCTACAACCAGTGGCACGACAAGCTAGTCAAGCACAGCATGTACGTGTCTCCGACAGAGGAGGCGGAGGAGGGGGACATGGCGGGTTTCCTGGAGGCGAACAAACGGTGGGAGGCGAAGAGGAAACACTACGACTGGAGCGACGGGTATGGGAGGGATACTGGAAGCCGGAAGTACAAGCAACCTTCTAAAGTATGGGCTGAAGACCATGTGAGTCGCTGTTGCTTCTCCTCCTCCTCCTCCTCCTCTTCTACAACAACAACATCATCACCATCATCGTCATCGCCACAGATCGTCATCGATTCTCGATTCTCATCATCTGCATCTCCATCATCACCTCCAACACCATCGATCTCTTCATCTGACTGTTTCCTTCAGGACGACTGGCGGAGGTGGTACTCGAAGTGGTACAACAAGGCGATGGAGGACGAAGACGGACGCGAGAGGACGGTTCATAGGATGAACGGAGCAGGTGGAATCGAAGAGTTCGGGCACAGCGGGAAGGAGAGGTAAAGAATTTCAATCTGTGTGATTGAGAGGACAAAAGTGACTATGATGAAGATGGAGAAGATGATTGTGGAGAGGGTAATGATGATGATGATGATGATGATGATGTTGTTGTTGGTGGTGGTGGTGGTGGTGGTGGTGGTGGTGGTGATGGTGGTGGTGGTGGTGGTGGTGGTGGTGGTGGTGATGATGATGATGATGATGGAGAGGATGGTATGGTGATGGTGATGGTGATGATGATGGTGGTGATGATGATCATCATGATGATGATCATGGTCAGGATGAGGATGAAAAAGTCTCTTTCCTGTCATGTTCATTTGACATCTGAATGTTCTCAGTTACGGTGGGCGAAGTCAAGTTGGTTTCAACGGCTACAACATCGACAGCAGGCCTTATGGATACGAAGTGTACAAGGTTAGAGAGACATTGAATTATATGTTGCAAGATGATGATGGAGACGGAGATAATGATTGAGGTGATGGTGGCGATTATGGAGATGGTGGTAGTGGTGATGATGGAGATGATGATGATGGTAGTGATGATGATGGAGATGATGATGAAGATGGAGATGGAGATGAAGATGATGATGATAAAGGAACTCAAACGATCTTGACAATGTGAACGATGAGCACGTGAATGATTATGATTACAATGATGATGATAGAGGAGAATTCTATGTGTCAAGATGGAAATCAACACGATAATGGTCTTCGACAGGATTGGAAGCGGCATGTGCTGAAATGGCCACAAGACGCGGATGGTGTGGTTGGACTTTGGCCGGTTGCATCAAAGAAAGTATCAAGCAAGCCGGGGGGGGGGCAAGAAAGGTTCTAATGACAACGGGGGCAACGGGGAAGAGTGAACCCTTGGTAAGTCACATCAAACCTGGACAAGTCACATCTCTGACTCGCTAGATGTTTGACCATGGTTGTTTCTTGTCTCTTTGCTCATCCTGTATGCTACCAGCTCGCCTGTGTACGATAACTCCACTTAACTTCATAAGTAAACCTCGTCGTTGCTCAATACGCTCGTGCCGCTATCCTGCTCCTCCTCCTGCTCCTCCTCCTTGCTATCCTGCTCCTGCTCCTGCTCCTGCTCCTGCTCCTGCTCCTGCTCGTTCTGCTTTACCTGTTTCCTGTCGCCTCGTGCCCTTTTCGCGCAAGGTGGGCCATTTTTAGTATGGTAGGGTGCTTGAATTAATGGGGGGTCTGACACGATGAAGCCTTAAAGTACCCCTCATTAAATCTCCTGTTTTCAGATACAAGAGGGGGTATTCTTGAAATTCGGAACAATCCCAGAGGGGTGGATCCGAACCTCTTGGTTTCATGGGGGGGTGGAGGGTGGCTCAAAGGGGCTCTCACCTGAACTCCTGCTCCCGCCCTCCCCCCTCTCCCTCCTCTCCCCCTTCCATCTCCTCCTCGTCGGCCCCCTCCCCTCCTCCTCCTCCTCCTCCTCCTCCTCCTCCTCCTGATACTTCTTCTTCTCCTGCTCCCTTTTCCAACTCCCTTTCCTGATCCACCTCTTGCCTCTTTCCTTCTTTCTCTTCTGCAGTCTCATCGTACTTCACCTCTGCTTCATCCTTAGTTTTCTGCTTTCTCGACTCCTGCCTCATTTCTGCCTTCTCTTTCGCCTTGCTCCTCCTCCTAATTGTCCCCAACATCATGTATCTCCTTACAATCCATTCTCCACTTTCTCTCTTCCTCCTTGCACTTCTCCTGAACACCCCCCCTGCAAGCTCATCCCCCGACACTTCCGAGGCCTCGTCTTCCTCCCCCTGCAGCCTCTCCAAGATCAATCTCACCTCCTCTCCTGTCTCGGCGGGTTCCTGTCAGTGTGCAAGCTCAGCCGCTCTGACGGCAACAGTCAGCTTGTCAGATAGAGAGTGGGCGATACGTTGGTCGAGCAGGGAACAAACGGCCCCAGCTGGATCTCTGCTGGTGACGGTTGACCTGGAAGACTCTACGAGGGGCCATACGATGTTGTTGCAGGTTCAGATGCGGCATGCGCTCAGGGTTGTAGCCATGAAGGAGTTTCTGATAGCGCCTGGCATGCTGTCCCATTTTCCCGGATGCTTCTCCTTCTCCTACGACGACGCTCCTCCCGGCTCCTACTCCCTCCTCCTCGTCCTCCACAAAGTCGACCCGTCATTGCAGCTCACGGTGGTCGCATCGGAAGACCACTACGTGCTCGTCGAGGATCTGTCAGGGCCAAGAGCAGCGGTGGAGCAGGCGGTCATGGACGGAAGGGACATGACAGTCAACGTCCGCCTGACGGGCGTCGCTCGACGACAGCTGCTGCTGCTAGTCGTTGCGATCGAGGTCAGCAGCCTCTGGCACCATCAGCAAATCATGGTCGTGGACGCTGAGGAGGAGGAGCGCGTGGAGCCCGTGCGGGTGTCAGGAATTGCAGGGAGCGACTTCCTCCTCTCCATCGTCCTCTCGGAGCGTCTCAACCAATCTTCTATCCTCCCCATCATGAACGTCAGCAGGTCTCTCAGCCTCGCCGCCTGCAACCCGAGTTGTCTCCTCAACGACGGCAACAGCACGCCAGCACCTGTGAGCATGCTCAGACTTTCGGCAAGGGGATCCGGCAAGACAGCACAGCCTGCTAACGAAGAGCTTGTCGTTGCTGGTGCAGAGCACAGCACTGCCAAGATTGACCTCGTCACAGTCCCAGAGCTCCCGGTCGCCGGATTGCAGGTGCAAGTCTCCGCTGCTGCTCTTGGGCTGAGGGGCGGCCAGCGGTATAGGCTCAGCCTGTCTGCCGTGATGGTGGCGACGGGCAGAGTTGTCTTCCAAGTCAGCAGCTTCATCAAACAGTCGGCTGCTCCAGCTGCACTCGAGCACCTGGTCCCCTCGTGCGGGCTGGGTGAGGTGGAGATCAGAGCAGTGCTGCATGCCGTCAGGACGGAAGAGCAGGGGGGAGGGGAGCAGAAAATTCTCCAAGTCGCCCGACGATTCGTCGCCATGGGAGCGTGTCAAGTCAACTACCTCTGGAGCTCGTCGGGTCAACCGATCTTCGACGGCCCGCTGGAGTACCGGGCGTCGCCCTTCCACCATCCTGTCAATCTCACCCAGCAGCACCTGGGGAAAGCAGGCGCTCTTGATGTGACGTTGACCACGACCGCAACGTTGGACCGGCTCGTCACGCTGATCAGCACAGCTGCGCACTGGGGGGATAACATGGCGGTCGCCATGTACGCGCGCAGCGCTGTGGAGCAGGGAGAGATCAGAAGGTTCGTGATGGAGATTTTGGGCCCTTGGTTTGCGACGAGGGGCAAGACGCTGGAGGTAGTTTTGCTATCTGCCTGCCCCGACCCCTTGAACACAGGGAATGACCTTGTGTTCCCCATCAACATGCTGAGAAAGATCTGCTGTGCCATAGCCAAGACAGAGCTGATCCTGTTCACCGATGTCGACATGCAGCCGTCGGACGGCCTTGCCGCAAGCATCCAGCTGGCATATAGCAGGGGGCAGCTCGGCCCCATGGACCTCCTGGTGTTGCCGGCGTTCAGGTCGAACGAACTCTGGCCCCTTGACGTGGAGGTTGACGTGAACGAGGGAAACTTGTCCGTCAACACCTTCAGCATCTTGTTCAGGGACCTTCGGCAGCACTTCGCCACCTGCAGCGTCTACGTCCCTGGGATAGACTGCAGGGGGACAACCAGCTGGTCTGGAGCTGGGGTCTTCCACATGCCCACAGACTACGACCGCTGGCTCGATGCCGAGGACTTGTACGAGGCGAGCTACTTGCTGGGCTACGAGCCTTACGTGGTGCTGAACCGAAGCTCGTGGCTCGGACGGCACGGGGCGGGCGTCTACGACGATCGTTACGTGTTCTGGGGCTGGGACAAGGCTTCCATGACGGCGGAGGCCGCTTACCTTGGGTATTCCTTCATGGTTCTGCCCAAGGGCTTCTTCGTGCACGCCTCAGATGCGCTGTTCAACGTCGAGCACGTCATCGCTGCCCAACTGGACATCAGCCTGCCCGAGAAGTCCGGGACAGGGTCGGGCTGGGGCCCACCAGACACGGTCGGCCGCAGACTCCTGCAGGACACGATGCTGTATGAGTACACGAGGCCGCAGGAGAAGGCAGCACACAGGTCCTGCGTCCTCAAGGCCTTCGAAGACAAGGCGTGCCAGCCGGAGAGCATCAGGATGGAGGTGAGCACGAAGCTAGAGGTGGTGAGAGCTGGCTACCAGCTGGGGGTCCAGCTGCACAACCTTGCGAGGGCCTCGAGCTTCCAGCTGACGGCGTTCGTCAAGGGGAAGGCAGAGGGGTCAGACAACCCCGCCTTCTACCGCATCGTCCCCGCCGACCTGACTGGGGACGTGCATGAGGTGAAGTTGTTGCTGGGCAAGCTCGAGTCGGGCAGGCACGAGGTGGACGTGGAGCTGTTTGACCTGCACGCGGCTAAGCTGATGCCAGTGGAGATTGCGAGACTGGCGTACCAAGAAGTGATGCTGTTTGTATGAGCCGAGCCTGATCGGACAGGCGGCGCCTGAACAGGAACTTGAAGCCTGTCACCGCGCTCACGGTCCGATCATCGGATCTCAGCAGATGCCGGCACTGGCGGGGGAGCCAGATCAAGTCGCCGCCGCCCAACTTGGCAAGTTTCTGATGCCACTCGACTCTCTGAGAGGTCACCCGACGGTCGCCCACATGATAGCATATGATAGTAACGCCGGGAGTCAGCTGAGTATTTTTGCTCTATTCAATGGCAACTTGTCAAGTTAGTACATCAGTGACTGAGTCAGCGGCGGCTGACAGAGTCTTTGCTCCGACCGTGATCGGCCGGGGCTCCCGAGTCCAGAGCCGCGGGTCGTACTACAGTACGGTAGGGCCCCGGCGACCGGCGGCGGCGGGGCGGAGGCCCGCCCGGGCCTCGCCCGGAAACATCGGTGGCAGTTGAGTCTCGATCGGACCCGGCGGCCGACGGCCCGGCAGCACTCAGATCGGACGCAACTGACGGGTGCCGCAGCCGGGGGTTGCCAGGTTGCCAGCGAACTGGCAACAAAAAGGTCTAGTACCGGTCTATTTTCGTTGTGTCTGAGGGGTACCTTCATAGAAGGGGGTGGGTGGGTATGAAGGGGACCGTTTGATTTGACTAAAACCTATGGGGTATCTGGCGACAATCTCCGCTCGGGCCGGTTCTGACCTTAAATAGGGAAAATAGGGTACTATAAGGGGACAAGGGGGGTAGGGGTGAGAATGGGCTCAAGGTATTACTACGGGGGTACTTGAGACGAATCAAAAGGGGGTGGTGGGTGGTCATTACGACCCTACAGGGCTGCCCCCCAATGTTTTTTTTGCACATGAAGCGGCCGACTACAACCTATTTCCTTGACCACCCACCCCTATTCATGATGACCCCCACCCCCTCGTATTGAGTCCTATTCTCTCGCGCGCCAAGGGAATCACCCCCCCCCCCCACCCACCCACCTTTGGTCCACCTGACCGACCAGTAAAATGCCTCTTTGAACCCGTACAATTTACGAGCCTTGCCAGTACCCACCCCCAAATGACGATTCGAGAAATCCGCTTCCACCCCTGATTACCCTCCTCTACCCCAAGATAGAAGCTGACCCCACCCCACCCGTTAATGACAAATGTACCCATCAGTAATTTCAAAAAAGTCATCGCTTCATTTAAAATGATGACATGATCCATGTGTCACCCCTACCCCCCAACTTCCGAGACCTTTTGGGAAAGTACCCTACGTCATTACTAGAAGTACCCTATATCTGCCCTGTAATTACTGTACCCTAGTCCCTGATGACAGTACCCCTACCCCCAGCTATCACTTACACCAGGACCACCAAATAGTATCAAAAGTCGGGTTGTTCCTACTTCCCTGGCCTCCTGACTACCCCTACCCCCTCATTTCACATCCAATGCCTTTCAATATGACCCCTTTGTTGACCCAATGTGTACTTTAGAAAGTACCCACCCTCCAAATATCCCACGACCATCCCGTCTATTAGGAACATTATTATCACCCACCCCATCTCCAAGGTTCCTGATATCACCCCACCTGTAGATTTGCCCACTTCCGTCCCCGGCGATCCTTTCATGCACAACCGCCCTACGACCATTTCCCTCCACTTCCCCTCCCCTCTCCCTCTTCTTCATCCCTCCTGCTCCTGCTCCTGCTCCTGCTCCTGCTCCTGCTCCTGCTCCTGCTCCTGCTCCTGCTCCTGCTCCTGCTGCTCCTGCTGCTCCTGCTGCTCCTGCTGCTCCTGCTGCTCCTGCTCCTGCTCCTGCTCCTGCTCCTGCTCCTGCTCCTGCTCCTGCTCCTCCTCGCTATCCTGCTCCTGCTCCTGGTCCTGGTCCTGCTTCTGCTGCTTTCTGCTGCTCCTGGTCCTGGTCCTGCTCCTCCTGGTCCTTGTCCTTGTCCTGGTCCTGGTCCTTGTCCTGGTCCTGATCCTGCTCCTCCTGCTCCTGGTCCCTCTCCTGCTCTTCCTCTTGCCACTGCTTATCCTAGCAGTACTGCTACAACACGTTCCATTTGAAAGCCCCCTCTTTCTCTACCCTGCTGATTCGCCGCTATCTTCGCCACCTGTTTTCATTCTCCTCTTGTACCAACCATCTCAACTCGCATCCAAATCCCCATATACTCTTCCCTTTTCATTTATCATCTCCATACTCCCTCCTTCTCATCACAGACATCCTCAATTTCTTCCTCCTCCCTTCTGCTTCCAGCGCCATTTTTCACAGCATTGGCGTCCCTCTTTCCTGCCTCCGGCTTGACCATCCTCATTCAAATCGATTCCTACCTGGCAATGTGTACTCACCTACTCCCCCCCCCCCTCCCGCTCCTTCCCCTCTCCTTTCTCCCCTCACCGTGCATTATATACTCTCGTGGTGGAGTGGTGTACTGCCGTGCGAGAAAATCATGCTGTCGTGATTGGGCGATACCATGAAGTCACTGATGAATGTCGTGATGACGACATCTATGACTGATTTCTGTATTCTCTGCTTGCTCGTTGTTATTAATTGATGTTATCATGAAACTCATTGCAAAGTCTCTATTCCTTTTAATCCCCTGTCGATCGAAACGTGTTGTTCTCATTCGTTCTCTGAGCGTGTATTTTTTGTTTCAGGTTGACAAGGAGAGGAAGTGCATTGGTGCGAGTCTTGAAAAGGAAAGAACATTGAATAGAATATAGAGTAGAAACTCAGCCTAGGAATCACTGCAAGTTCCCACCTGTTTGCTGTACAGACGTCCTCATCGTTGGCAAGGCATTTCAGGATGGTGCAGAATGACAATCAGATCATGACGAAGAGGAGGCGTGTGTTCCTTCAGCCGACTCCGAAAGCTTGTAACGAGTGCAGGAGGCTTAAGATGAAATGCGAGGCCCGACGACCCTGTGCTCGATGTATCATCAAGGGTCTGAGCAGCGAGTGCTGTGATACCCCTTGTGCCTCCAACGGGCCACGGGGGCAGGTCCACAGAGCATGCATGCTGTGCAAGAAGGCCAAGGTGAGGTGCGATCAGAACAGGCCCTGCTTGCGATGTGTGCAGAACGGTTGGCATGACCAGTGTGTTGAGTTTGGCACCACCATGTTCCTCTTCGATCAGACCTCGCCCGCTGAAGATGTGTCCCTCGGATGCCTTGCAGTCGAAGAGTGCCAGGATGTGGAGAGGCCGATCGTGTACAAGGCAAACGCGATTCTGTTTCAGTCTCACTTCGACCCATGTCCTTTGACAGCGACAGCGACCATTGGCTGTATCCCATCCTGAGAAGGTCGTGGGAGTTCGGAGCAGACGCCACGCTGCTGGAGCGGGTGTTCCTGAAGCTCCCGACCTTCACGCAGTACGTCATAGGGACCGGCCTCTCCGCCTTCCTCACCCTGCAACTCGCGGAATCGAACGCGCAGCGGAACTTCAACAACACGTTGCAGAACGATTATAGCGGGGTGGACGTGGTGGAGCAGATCGAGAATGAAATGTGGAATCAGAGCACGGACACTGCTGTGCTGAGGATGAGGTGGAGCCATGACGAGGAGACTATGCAGCCGGTGCGGGAGGAGCTGTTTGCCAACGACCTGGTGTCTGTTGTTGGGATCCACAAGGAAGAATTCGTGTCCAGGTTTGCAGCTCACAACGTTGGGATCTTCATGACTGAGCTGGAGTGGATGTGCTTCATCTTGGACGAGGCGTTCAACGCCAAGGAGACCTTCGTCACGAGATACTGGAGGTGTAAGAACTCGTGGAGGACGGACAACTTCGACGGGTGCCTTTGGAGGTTCATCGTCTGCAAGCAGTTCGACGGGTTCGGACGGTTGAGGTATACTCGACACTTCATGCAGCCGGTGAGTTTTGACATGTAGGAGTTGAGGGATGCTCTGTTGAGACTGAGGACGATTGTAGTTCTTGTATCTATCTTGTACCCGCCCCCCCCCCCCCTCCGTTGATGTTGTGTTGATGTGACATCTCAGGTTACTTTCTCGCTCGCTGCTCGTGTTTTGATGTGATGTTGATGATAACTTCTCACTCATTGCGGTTTTGGTCTCACATCGAACGTTACTTGCTGATACTTGCTGATTGTGGTGATTCATCTCTACCTTGATCATCATCTCAGTCATATATATGTTCCTTTCTCTGCTTCCACTGGTTCCTCCCCCATCTTGGTCCTCCTCCTCCTCCTCCACCACCTCCACCACCTTCGGCGACAGCTACCACAGCGGAAACTGATCTATGTACACTTCATTCATATTCCGCGTGCTCTCTCCTGCTGCTGACTGTGGTTGGGTCACCCTTCCAGCGTGTATTTATTTTTATTGGTTTGCGCAGGATGTTTTGCCCTCTCCT